TTTTCAGTGCCTTGCGAAGCTTTCTACTTGTTCCAATGCTTCCACTCCCAGTCTCACCCTCCATGATTCAGGAAATATAAGTATAACCCGAACAATAACAACTGAAATAACCATACAATATTTCTGCTAACAACAAACAATATCACGCGGTAACTAGACTCTCAACGAAACAAGTTCCAACCTATACTAGTCTAAGCCAGTGTATCGGGCCTTGCAGCGTGGAAGCGTTGAGGCGTCATCTTATCCCGGGACCGGAATCAGTTATCATTCTTCCCTTCAGTTTAATTATGGTAATATTCATGCGCGTTTCTTACTCGTAGCATGTTTGTTGATTTTGACTGGTTTTACTGTTTTATTACAAGTTGATGAGCTCATCAAACTAAAATACGTTATGATTTTTAAAGCCACAAAATCATCTTGAATTGCAAAAAATCGTTAAATTTAAAAGATTAATACAAATGGGATATTTACCAAAAATGAAAACTTCTTACTTACTAGTTTAAACCCACGGCTTCTCCCGCATGATAGTCAATAGTCATTCTAGTTTTATGTATCTAGTCATATTGAACATATTTTGGAGACTGAAACTTCGAATCCAAAAACTTTCACCCACTAATTTCTTATACACGTATTTAACCAAAAATATTATGGAGGGGTATTAAATATATCTTCATCGTTAAGGTTTATCGATACCTGACTTTTAAATTATTCAGAAAGGCCGTGTAGGAAGCATATTCTGATCAAAAATTAGTGAACGTTAAAAATAAAACTCTGGAAAACTCATCTCGCTGATTATCCCTGCAACAGCTATAACATCTCATTCTCTCCCTTTTCCGGTGTCTCCTGTCTTCTTTTCTCGCTTGTTCCGGCCCGTCGAGTTCTGCAGGAAAATTACCAGGCGCACATTCTCTGCTATAAAAGTGAGTGCTAAGGAAACCGCACTGCATACGGTTCTAACGAGCCAGCTTCAAAATTAAGCCACGTTTCGGCCTGATCGGAAGGTTTCTCGTTGGCATAGTGCAGTCAACGATGGTAATTAAATAAAAATAAAAGCAGAAATGCCTGGATTACCAAAGGATTAATAACATCGGCAATAGAAAAAGAAAGACTATATAATGTAATGAAACTAACGCCAACTACAGAGAATACCGACTGCTACAACCAATATAAAAATAAATTTATAGAGCTTGTAAGGCAAACCAAACGAAAACATTACCTAAATAAATTGAATAATAACTTAAATGATCCTAAGCGGCTTTGGACAACTATTGATGAGATTACTGGGAAAACAAAAGTTAAAGAGTATGTCACTGAGTTAAATACAACATCGGGAACAGTATTAAAAAATACTCAACAGATATGCGATGAATTTGTACAATTCTTTACTGACATAGGCGAAAATTTAGCAAGTAATATACAAGCAAATGTACAAAATACTCAGCCTCCAAAAAGAACTTTGAACTCATTTATTTTGGATAAAGTCGAGCAATGTGAAGCATACACCACTGTTATGTCCTTAAAAAATCGGAAAAGTCCTGGGTTCGATGGTATTAAAAGCGAGCATTTGAAAATTATAGCCGAGGACATAACAGAACCACTCACTGACCTAATCAACAAATGCTTTGAATCTGGCATATATCCCTCAATTTTAAAAAAAGGAAATATAATACCGATACATAAATCAGGAACAAAAACAGATGTTAACAACTATAGACCAATATCAATAATATCCAGTGTAGCAAAGGTTTTTGAAAAAGTTTTGTCTACTAGAATGATTCGATACCTCACAAAATTCAAAATTTTAAGTGAAAATCAATATGGATTTACAGAAGGGAAGGCTACATCGGACGCAATAACTAAAATTGTAAATCAAATACATCAAAATATTGATAACAGAATCCCTTCAATCTGCATTTTTGTTGATTTAAAGAAAGCTTTCGACACAGTTAATCACAAATTATTATTAGAAGCATTGGAGAGAATTGGTTTCAGAGGAAACGCATACTCACTGATCGAAAGTTATTTGTCAAATCGCCCACAATCTGTGCAGATATCAGGATCATTTAGTAAAGAAATGTATATTAAGTGTGGTGTCCCACAAGGAACTGTCTTAGGTCCGCTGTTATTCAATATGTATTTAAATGATATTTTCCAAATTAATTGTGTTGGCAAAATAACTAGTTTTGCAGATGATACTGCAATATTATATGAAGGCAGTGACTGGTCTGATCTGAAAAATGTAATTGAAAATGATTTTATCAAAATTATTCGGTGGTTTAACAGTAGAAAATTAAGCATTAACTACTCTAAAACACATTTTTTACCATTTGGATCTTATGCTAGACATCTGCCAAATTACACAAATTTCTCCTTCAATATTGATGATCAAAAAATGCAAATTAATAGAGTGCCCAACATAAAATACCTTGGAGTGGTCTTGGATCCTCACTTACGATGGGACATCCATGTCAATTATATTTTAAAGAAAGTTAGATTTGTATCCTACAAAATTAAATACCTTGGGAATATATTGACAGAAAAATATCTTCGAACATTATACCATTCACTGATTGAGCCTCATCTCACATATGGTATATTAGCATGGGGAGCTGCATGTTCCTCACATATCTATAATTTAGATGTTTTTCAAAAAAGTATTCTAAAAATGATATTTAAAAAACCGAAACTTTATCCCACTGAAAAACTATACGCAGATGTTCGAATGTATGATATAAGACAGCTTTATTTCTTACACAGTATCACTCACTACCATAAATTTGTAAACACCGACCAAAAAGTTAAACATAATCATTATACCAGGTACAAAATTCGTGGCACAGTGGTTCCTCAACCGCATAAATCTATAATGCAGCGATCATATCTCTATTTAGCGCCTAAATTTTATGAAATTATACCTAAAGACTTAAAAGATTTACGTTTTGAAAATTGTTTCAAAAGAAATTTAAAAAAGTGGATACATTCTATATCTAGGACTGAAATTCATAAACTCATAAATACGAACATCAACTAAATACATAATCTACTGTAGCTAATTTTTGTCCTTTTTTGTCATTTGCATTCTACAGTTTCAACTTAAATTATTGGTCCATGTACAGGCGATGCCTTCTATTAGGCCTGTCTTGATTTTATATTTATTTACTCATATTGTTTGTTATCTTTGTACATTGAGTGAATAAATATTATTATTATTATTATTATTATTATTATTATTATCTTACAAAATGCATTTGATGTTAATAATTTTTTAACTTGATTTTTAAATTCACTTTATATCGAAAAATCCAAAGTTACGTTTTATTTAAAACCTGAAACTACGTTTGAGATTTGGTCAAAACAGAATCAGAAAAATATAAGGCATTTTCGTAAATTAAATTTATTTTTGAGGATATTGTGGCTTGACGCCTTATTGAATATTGATTTTGCATAAATGAACCGCTGGGCGACAGCTAGTTTCATTACTCATGAAACACAACCATTTTCTTTCATCGGAGTCTCGAAGTTCTAATTATGATGAACTCTGGAGTCTTATTAATAATAACTTCTATTCGGAAAGCCTTCCGGGTCTTTTATTAATAACACAACAAACTTTAGTGTTTCATTTTATTTTGCTAGCTCGCTAAATATAAGGCACTCGGGAAGGAGTATTCCTTCCAATTTTTGCCCGGATTTCGCATAAATGAACCGCTAGTCTCATTACTTATCAAACACACCCTGTATTTTCTTCATCGCAGTCTCGAAGTTCTAATTATGATGAACTCCGTTCCGCGTAAAGAGCTCGAATCTGATGTTTCCGGATCTGGGTCAATGAGGAGTCTTATTAATAACTTCCGTTCGGAAAGCTTTTCAGGTCTTTTATCAGCAACACAACAAACTTTAGTGTTTCGTCGTATTTTGCTAGCTCGTTTTAGTTGTAAATCTAGATTGCGAAAGTAATCTTCCGTAGCTTTTTCGCCTTATCAAGATAGTTCGGCTTGTCGGAATTAGGGGAAAAACAGTAAACTTTTATATCTTTCCTTAGTATAAACGCTTAGAGAGGGAGCATTCCCAAGGATTTTATGATACTTGAAAATGGCATCAAGCAGACCAACTGTGCAATTCCGACGCAACGTGGAAAGTAGCAGTAGACCTTAGAAACCCTGAGGAAAACGACAATTATCTGGTTTATCAATCGAATGTGACAAGAGGAGTGTCTTAAAACTACTTACTCACAAACCAACACTTACCTGAGAGCCAATTTCCTGGAGGATTGAATCTTTCAACAAATCCCACATCCGAAAAGTTCCCATCGCGGCTCCAACTCACCCTTGGGAGCCGAAGGACCCGCTCACGCTCTTGTCGTAAAAAATTAAAATCGCATGTCACACCAAGATCTTCAATCTTGATAGTCTCATGGCAAAGGTTGGGTGAGGAAAGGTTTGTTTCCATGGCTAGCTTATTTGAAGTATTCATTTTGAAATATGTAACGTTACCCTTTGTACGCCACTGGGCGAGGAAATTTTCATGCAAGATTACCACTGTACCAAGGACGAAAAAGCTTTGCAGTTTTCGCAACCTTTTGATGCTAATCCGCTTCCAACCGCTATAGTGATTTGCTCTTCAAACTTAGAACGATTGAAAAATGTTTTCGGCAAGCGTTCCTGCGTCTGCTGATTTCAATATTCGCGGCCGGCGTGCCGATGTTTGTGTCTGTTCTGGATGAATAATACTCTGTAGGCGCTCTGCCGGGTGTGACGTCATGCTTTCAGACATTGGAGAGAGGCGAAGCGACGTTGCCAGGTAGACGGGTAGAGCAGAAAACTGATGTTATCCTACTATCCTCTACCCAGGATATAAGGTCTATGGGACTGTCTCGTTCCGATAAGGTCTAACTTGTGTTGAACATAATCATTTATGAACTGTTGACAGCGTTAAATGGGGATTTTTGTAGTTCTTCAAGTTTGTATTTCATTTCGTCTTTAGTTTTTGAAAACATTGTATACTTATAGGACATGGAAAATTATTCTGAATATGAGTCTGAATTTGTATCCGAATCTGAATATGCATCCAAATCTGAATCTGAAATTGAATCTGAATCTGATTCTGAATCTGAATACGAATCTGAACCTGAATCTGAACCTGGATCTGAACCTGAATCTGAACCTGAATCTGAACCTGAATCTGAACCTGAATCTGCATCTGATTCTGAATCTGACTCTGAATACAAATCTGCATGTGACTCCGAATATGAATATGAATCTGAATATGAATCTCAATCTAAACCTGAATCTGAACCTGAATCTGATTCTGAATCTGAATTTGAATGTGAATCTTAATCTTAATACGAATCTGAATCTGAACCAGAATCGGAATTTGAATATGAATCTGAATCTGATTCTCAATATGATTCTCAATATCATTCTGAATCTGATTCTGAATTTGATTCTGAATTTGATTCTGAATTTGATTCTGAATTTGATTCTGAATTTGATTCTGAATCTGATTCTGAATCCTAATATGAATCTGATTCTGAATTAAAATCTGAATCTGATTCTGATTCTGAATCTGGTTCTGATTCTGATTCTGAATCTGATTCTGAATCTGATTCTGAATCTGAATCTCATATCTGAATTAGAATCTGAATCTGAATTTGCATCTAAATCTGCGTCTAAATATGAATCTGAATCTGAATTTGAATATGAATATGAATCTGAATCTGAGTATAAATCCAAAACAGAATCTGAATCTGAATCTGAATCCGAATCCGAATCCGAATCCGAATCCGAATCCGAATCCGAATCTGAATCTGAATCAGAATATGAATTTGAACCTAAATCTATATCTGAATCTGAATATGAATCTGATTCCGAATCTGAATATGAAGTGTAGAGTCAACCTACTTGACGCCATGTTTTGATTTCTTTCCAGGTTTTTACTGGGCGTCGTCTGATTTAAATGAGAGCTCTGAAGCTCAGCGAGGGTCTTCTTTATTGCAATGTCTTGGAAACAGAATAGATGAATTTAGATAGAAAGTAAATTTGTCGAATGCGATGTCTCTTCCAGATTTAGGTCAATTGCCGCAGCTATAAAAACCCGAGGGAACATAGCTCTAAATCAAAAAGCGATTTTTACGAGACTAATTCGATGAAGGGTTCATGATGTAGCAAAAAAGTACCGCGCAAACCGTCATCTTGTTTTATTACAAAAATTTGCAACTCATCGGTGTGGGGGTGATATAAACAGGCCCTCAACGTAATGGCTCTATAAAATCCCCCTTACAGTTAGGAACGAATAAGTGGTAGCATCGTGAAAAAGTTCTACTTAGAAAATGAGCCACCTGGGACTTTCATCAGCCCTAGTCAAATTAGCATCCAAATCGGAATTTGCGCAGCAGTAATGAAGTTTCCTTTTTATAAAGGAGTAACTGCGGATGCAGATGCCTAAATACCGGGTTACTGACGCTACCATAGAGAGCTTAAAGCTACTTTGATCTACCTAAGGTTAGTAGACCTGGCCAAAGCCTCATGCAGATTGTAGATCACTTTTGACACCCTAGGAACCAAGCAGCGTCAGTTCCCAGTGTGGTTAGGACAGGTGTGTCTGATGTGTGGATTGGATTGATCTTGGAGGGAAGGGGGTCGTTGACATGTAATGGAAACAATATTGCAGCCAAGACCGATCCCTGGGGAACATCCGCGTTGACCTTTTGGGATGAAATGGAAGACCCATCAATTACGATGGATATGTTGTGTCGAAAATCTAGCAAGATATCACTCCCCAAACCTCAACGAAAGTCTGTAAAAGTAACACCGCCTGCGATAGAAAGTTTCAAGCAAACATTTTTCAATAAAAATGCCTTGGGTTGTACAGCCATACACTTCACTTTAATAAAATATTCGCGATCTATAAAGCAGCAGAAGTTGTGTAAACACAAAAAAGCGCTGACAGTGTACAGGGTGGTTTCAGAAGCAGTGATTACGGTATGATCTGTGAACATGGGCCCTTAAATATCCTCCTGTCGGAATCCAAAGGCTGTAAAGATCAACGGGTTAATCCAAGAGCTTTCTGTAGAAACTTTTCTCCGAGACAGCTCCCGCCTGTCCATCTTGTATTCCTAAATCAGAACTGAGACCGAGAAGATTGATGAAAGCTATTACACCGTTTCTGGGATGATCTCAGTTCTGTTTAGGAATCTTCACGATTCAGAAGGCATCGCAAACCTAAAATTGAACGTCATGTGCACAATACTTATAGCGTAAAATCCATTAAATAGGGTTGTTGAAGGTTTTAACCAACTCGGAAACACGGCATTCAAACCCGCTATCTATCAACCAGTCAGAACGCAGGACTTTTTGAACCAGCCAATCAGAGCGCAAGATCCGTGGGGAACACTAATGCGGAGGATAGATAAAAGTTTACAGAATAAAACTACAAAGTTTCAAGAGATCATCAAATACCGGCATTAAAAAAAGAAAGCTCAAACAGCGGACAGAAACAAACAATATGGCCCTCCAGCACTCTCTATCACATGAGAAGGCGTTATCTAACCGAATATATACCAACAAGAAATCCAAGGAAACAGTGAAAATTCAAGAAAAAGTATGCCATTGTGTATGGTCTCCTCCAAAAATGGGCGAATTGATAACTGCTAACCACTTTTGTAAAATCCCAATGGGGTTCATGTGCAGGCTTAAAAAAGGCTGCAAATAATTGGAGGCCCATTGAAGCAAATGTAAAATGCAGTATTTTTCAACAACATCTATTAAATTTAAGATACAACACTACTCGACAATGATAACATAACGATTTACAACTGCATAATGTGAATACATGGAACGCATTTGCGGAAAAATATGTATTACATCCAGTTTTTTGCGTAGTCTTGACAGTTTGCATTAAAATCTCGGCCATCTTGGTTTTTTAGCTCCCCAACACAGAGTGATCAGCAGGGTTATTGCGTAAAAGAATCGATTAAATGTCAACTTGTTGACTAAATAGGTCACTCCGCGCTTGCTACAAGTGAGCACGAAGTGAATGACAGCTAGTTCCAAATAGTCTTAAAAAAACCCAAATAATGTCAAAAAACTGATATAATCGGGGCTCCCCATTCACATTTAGAGCACTGTGCACATTTCCACAACTATACAGATATACCCACTACACCTTTTATTAGAGGAAGTATAACGACGCAGCGAAATATCAACCCTATTTCTTGCATCCAAAGGTCTGAAACCCCTATTATCTAACAAGATAATGCCCATCTTCACATTGTCAGAACCACAATAACACCTTGGGTCTGGCCTCCTAAATACCCAGACCTTTCGCCTATTGATGATCTTTAGGATACAAAAGTTTACCATATACCATCTCGTTAAGGGGGCATTTTTAGAACTATCTTCAAAAGAACCTGTGTTAGTTTTGAACTTACTTTTTGCTGTAGAAATAATGCCGGTTCATTGAATCTCCCTGTATTGTAAGCAAGTGAATATCGATCTGCTGCCTGTCGTTGATGTGGATGTTAAAAATTCACGAAGGACGTCACAATCCTCCTCAACAAAGAAAAAGTCGGAAAGTATTTATGATAAGGAGGTTGTGTTACAAGGGGCGATGATACAATGCTCTCGAAATAGTAAATGAAATTGAAGTAGTGGATATTTAAAATATCCTATACAGGACGTGTTGAAAGTTGGGACTTTGCTTTTCAGAAACAACTTCTTTGTGATATCAAAAATGTAAGAAAAAGTAATTGAATTAGCGTTCAACGAAAAGAAATTCAAGTGTAGCTTGTAAGTATAGGCTTTTAGATTCCGGGATGAATTTGTGTTCACCTTAGTTTTATAAACAAGAAGAGAAATCACGGAGGATCTTTAAAAACGATCTGCGTGCAATCTGGAAGCCTCGGTAGCAATTTTGAGGACACTCACCGTGAATTAAAATAATATGGATAACTCTGATATTGCTGTAAGAGTGTGTCATTTTTTAGAACCGATGTATGAAGGTTTTGTTTAAAAACGTATCAAGTACCTGGATTGAGTACTGATTCGCATAGTACCTGTTCACGTTTGACCTATTCGAGGTGGAGGACCTGAATAGATTTGACTTAAGACTTTCGATACGCCGTGTAAAGGAAAGTCCCAACTTTGTGGACACCCTGTATATTCTCGTTATACCATACTACGAGCAAAGAGAGTTATGCCAAGAGAAGACAATTAGACAAGGCGAACAAATTAGAGAACTAGTGGTTAAGCCAAAAGCATAGCGTCCACAAAACAGCTGATAGAGCTCTTTCACGTGTTGTTTTTGTTTGGCCAGATGGTCAGACATGTATGCAGTGTTGCCAAATAGATAATTTCTGAAAGATTAAGCATATTTTGTTCAAACTTACTTTTATGTGGGTATGTATTCATGGTGGAGGGTATTTTTTATTCAATGTGTATGTTATACAGTACAAAATATTCATACAAGTGTATAGATCAGAGCAATCACAAAAGATCGTCGATATTCTCATATTCTTTAACTTTAGCCAATATATCCAATAGTAAATAGTATTCTTCATCTTAGTTGGCTATTAGATGTGGCATTCATTTGTTAGCAAATGCGAGCTGAGCCAACTATTTTCTGATAGCGCGACCACATTTTGCAAAATAAAAAATATAGATTTTAACTTGGGCTTTTACTGCCTTGGTAAAACGTTTTAACTGCTTTGTGATTAATATTATTCTGTGTAATTTGTATTGCCAGATACTGCAATGTATCGCATCATTCATCTGGTTACCGCAGCCTATCTAGTGACATATTACTTACAAAACAATAACAATAACCAATAACAATATGAAGAAAGTATGTTCGCACCATAACCTTCATACGAGGTCTGTAAATGAAGTGATGAGATGATAGACCTTTTATATCCAAATATAGCTATAATTTTATATTGTCCGCCTCAAAATAACCTTACTTTTCACGGTTTTGTCTACTCACAGAAAAATAGTAAAATTGCAGATATTACTTTTATACATCAATCTGCCTCATGCATACATGCCTAACAGGCCTCTACGTACGAATGCTCAGAGACATACGTTTTCTAGTTTTGTCTCACCGCCTCAAAGATATTTTCATCAACGTATGAGTCTTCCATTTTTATGCTTGCGACTGTCAGTGTTGAAAGTTGCTTATCATATCCATTCAAGTTGAGCTTACCCTTTGTGATCTATGATATAACGCATAGCTATACCTGAAGATACGACCACAATGTCGATATTCTGTGTTAAATTGCTTGGGTTATTTTCAAAAGGTGAATATTAAAGGATCGCCTTCCGCAATGTGGAACTTTCCTGGGGATTTATTTACTTGTCAGTATAAATGTAGCAGTTCATAAACATTTTCTGTCAGTCTGGCAACACTGCATGGCCGCTTCCTCGATGGATGCAGAGCCAGCTATCAGTGAACCGAGAAACTGAAGAAGGTTTGTAAATCGGTATCAATGACATTCTTTGCAGCGTCTTCTCTTGGTATAACTGCTCCTTGGTACGATTACAGCGCGGTAAATCTCTCCTTTGCGCTTGGCACTTAGAAAACCATATTTTCCGTGCCATACTGTGCATCTTTTCGATTGTGATTTCCTCGGAGCGAACATCCTGTATCTTTCTTTTCGCAAAATATCTAGGCTTCGAGCCCAGTCCTATTGTACTCATTTTCTTATAGGCGTGGACTGTCCGTCATTGATGTCTCTATGATCTGACATGCCTTGAAAATAGGATATTAACAAAAAGCTTTAACGATTAAATTTGTGAATAGTCTACTTGAAATAGTAGGTAACTGAAGTTGATATAGATATTAGAGAGCATATCATACGACTATAAAAAAATATTTTAAGAAATTAATCGAGTAGGGGCTCTGGTATGAGTAGTGTAACTTGGATTTTTTAAACTTTATCTTGTAGGTCAATTTGACTCGAAAAACCAGCAGTTCGTGTTTTTGTATATCATAAATTATGAATAATCAAATTGTTGATTCAAAAGTACTGGGTGACTCACAAACGATTAGTTTCTAACCTAAAAAAATCTTGGTAACAACACAAACAGTTTTATTTTTGAATAGTTTTTAATAAGTTGTGCTTTACAAATATGGCCAAATTAACTGAATCCAAATATTCTGTGTGATTTATCGTGTTATGAATTACCCTGTATTTAACATCAATGTTCATTATTAACTATTAAACAATTAACTCTATTACCTTTACGTATTGCTAGTTACTATAGTATTTCTAGTAAATTATGTATATTGCAAAATATATGCCGATATATTTTTTTAAAAATAGACATATTCGTTTCGATCACTGTAGATTATTTAGCGTTTTCAATAGTTTAATACTATTCCATCCGTTTTTGTACAACAATAACAAAATATTTATACTATTAAGTGTTTGTTCTAGAGATAATAGATCTTGTGATATACTTATCTTTAAGCTTCAATATATAGGACCAAATGTATCACAAGTGAACTTCGTATCCAATTTTGGAAAAATACTCAACAACGATTGAAAAGTATTATGACACCCTTGCATAAAAACAGCAATTAAAGATCGTGGGAATGCTTGCTTTGAGAAATCTAGAAATCAGCTTTTTTCATATTGCATATAAATTTTCTTTCTAGATAGTCTTCCATCAACACATTTAAATGTACCTGTCTTCAATTCAAACTGTTGCTTAATAAGGCAACGGAAAATTTACTTTGGTCAAGCTGTCTCTAAGAGCTATTAGGCTATGTAGAAAAATAGAGCTTCAAAATTTGCACACCCAGTTCAATACTGGTGTTACTTCAAATGTTTTAATTTTAAGGTGAACGAACTTTCAGAAGCTACATATAACTACTAGGTACCTTTGCTATCTCATTTGAAACCTTGATTTGAAATGTGTAAAAAGCAATTATGGCAGTATGGAGTTGGGAGTGTGAATTGTTAATAATGCTGGTTGTCTTTGATTTGTGGACTACTCCTGACGCCCTAAGCTTGAAGCCTGATTGGATACGAAGGTCGCAGTATTAACATATACTTACCAAAGATTGTATTTTGTAATCAAAAATAAATTACGCTCTAATTCTGGGACCTAAGCGTGTTGATGTATTTCTCAGTAGATCGCCTTTTTCTATTAATGGTATAATACAATGCAGAAATATTTCAAATACGGTATGTCAGTTGTTAATGATAAAGGTGTTTATGACTATTGGTTCTCACTAAAATCTTCAAAAGTCGTGGCGCATATTTTTTAACCGTATAAGACGTCCACAATGTAAAAGGATCCACTTTCAGTTCTTACTAGTGTTTGTGGTTTGAACCTTAACCTCAGCTCAAATTTTTTTCATGTGAAACAACAAACATATAGTCAACGCCAAACAAAGTGGCGTGCACGTCATCACGATAAAAATTCCCCGACCTAATGCCTAGGTTTCTATCACAAACAATTGCTCTATTGCAGTTTCATATTAATGTGATATATAAATTGTAAAATGGTCATTACTCTCTTATTATGGTTAATAGTCATATAAACATTGTTATTAAAATGTCACATAAGTTGCTTTCTGATAAATTTAGACGCATTATGCGAAATAAAATGTTTTGCAAACGCTCCAATCACTTATCGACATGTAAACGCACTAAACCGATTTCGCAGCGTTGACACGTTGTCACCTTGAAACTTATTTAAACTGGGAAC